GGCAACAGTGCTAACCACCGTGCCACCGTTATTCCCATTTGTTTTGCTAAATATTGTATATAATATGATGAAGATTAATTTTCCAATTTTCTGTGACAGTGCAGGGGTACTGCTGCCCCCTCCTGCAGAGGCCCAGCAGTGGAAGGGTGATCCCACAGAGCAGAGGGGGAGGAGATGAGAAACTGCTCAGCAGCATCAGGCTGAGGCTGGAAAGCAGAGCAAAACCAGCATCAAGGTCCAAAACTGGGAGCAGACCTGAGACGACCTCACAAAGTGGAGCTGCCACTGTGGGCCAAAGCAAAGATCCAGTCGATGAAAGAACAGGTGAGTGGATCCAAAAGCACGTCCAGTGCTAATGACGTTCACAATGTGTTTTCAGTTTTCACTCCACAGCAGGCACACAGCCTTCATTACATGTTACATTTGTTTAATTCTAGTGATTACTCTACACTAGATCCACAAATATGTTTGTTAAACAGGCCAAAAAGATGAAAAATGCTCCACACAACTCTATTTATTCTCACTTACACTTTGGTTTGAATATAAATATTTTTGAAAAGTTATTATTTCTTTCATTTTGCCTTGGCTCCATCATTATAAGATAACATGGGCCTATGTCCTGCAGTATTTGCTGCTGTTTATTTATTTTTCTAATATGAAAAGTGGAATCAGTTCTTATGTTTTTAGTACAAAAGGACAACTGACTAATTAAACATCCGTGATGCAAACCAATACAATGCATAATCCAAATAGAGAAAGCCAAGGTTAAGCCACGAGTACAACATAGTCATTGGCACTAAAAGCACAGTGAATATAAAGATGGGAAAATGTTGTTTTTCCACTGAATTGCTTGGAAGTTAGTTACACACTGCTTGAAATGACTTGCAGTCTTATTTGTGTGTACTTTCCTTTTAAATGCAGACATGCATGCACAGCTTAACATCACACTATTTAAAATGACTTATATTACAGTTATTTCTTCTTTCTATGATTTCACTGTTGTTTCAAACAAAACACATTAAAATCCCATTAAGTTCTACGGGAGTTTGTATCATTTGGTCATGTGACATATTACAAAGCGCAGTCCTATAGTTCAGTCACACTAAAGTACAAATAGGATTGCAACCAGGAAAAATGTGTGATACATTCAAGTGTTCATATTCAGTATTTCAGTGCAGCGACCTCCACAGTCAGAAGGCGATCGCTGTCCTGCATCAACTGTCTCACTATTGATGCTAAAAAGTTCTGTTTCAACTCATGCTGAACTGAATTTAAGTAGTTCTGTGTTTGCAGAAATAAAAATAAGATATGTTTACAGTTTTTTTCCATATCATTAAAAACATTATTAGAAACATCTCATTCACAGCTTGAGCCACATTAACAGCAGACTGATTCTGTCTTATTGATACCAATCAAGACAGAATCACAGCCTCTTCAAATTCATCCATCCCACAGGCTTAGGCTTCAGTTAACGTCCCTCTGTTCATAACAATGTTACCATTTGGATCAATCAATTAGAAAAGTTCTTAAACGAAAATGTCAAAATGAATCATTTGAAATGTAACCTCATGGTTTTAAAACTATGATTTTTAAGCAAACTCAACCCTGACCCCAGTAAATGCTCTTTGAAGTAAGACGTAGATGTCATTCAGATTCATGTATAGGTATTTAAGAAACGTCTTTGATGCTCAGCTTTGAGAAATTCTGTAGTTTGATTGATGAAAATAAACCAGATGTGATTTGGGGATTTGATCAAACAAACACAATATCGTCTTTATCATTGAGAACTATCTGGTATTCATGTGTACGTTTAGCAATGATGGCTAAAGCTGCTGTTTTTTCACACTGCTAACCACTTAAAAGAGCTTTTGATCAACACACATGCACACAAACACAACAGCTTCCATCTGCCTGTAAATCTCTATAATCATATCCAGACAACATGCGTATATGAATTCTTCTTCTGGCTTTGGAGAGAAACAGATGTTTGTGGTGACTTTAGCAAATAATCTCATTTCATTGTCAACTGACATGAAAGTCTCTGTTTTGCATTCTTTCTCTATTATTCTATTGGCTTTGCTGTATTTGGATTAATGGATGTTTTTGCTGCAGTTTGGGTAATTGCCTTTTGGATATCCTCTAGTGATAAGCAGACACAGTTGTTCAGATGTAGTCATGCCCAATCTATCACCCAGATCAAGCGGTAAATGACATCTGCAGTGTAGATGTGTCTAAGTTCAAAGCTGCGTGTCTTAGAGTGATAAACTCTTTGAAACACATACTCTGCACAGAGACCTCGAGAACCCCCTGCGACAGCGAGAGGCCGGCTCGACACACACATCCTGCTTCCACAAAGGTTTCAGAGCTCCATCTATATCTGCCGTCATCACTGTGTGAAGATGAGAAGCAGGACACAGACGGACGGGAGATGAGGTATGAGCACAGAGGCTGTTCTAAGTCATAGGAAACGATGAATCTGCATCACTTTCAGCTTTGTTTGGGATAAACATTTGTAGTTTTCACCCTCCTTTCCCAAACAGGTCTCAGAAGTGATGTCAGCACGAGGGTGGGGAGACAAAAACTATTTTCCCAAGCAATTAGAGCAACTGCAGTGCATGGAAAGTCATGTCCGCTGGGCCTAAATGGGATTTGTTATATCCATGGCATTATTCCATGCAACAAAGAAGGAAAAAGGATAAAGTTACAGGATGTTTTATAAAAAGAAGCTCTGTAAAATACCAGTGCAGTGACAGGGGGAGACCCTGGGATTCACTGGAACTGGGTGTTCATCAAGCATGTACAACATTGTCTTGTTTCTCAGAGCCAAGAGCAGAAATCCCACACAGCCGGGTGTAAGCAGAATGACGGCATATTATTCCCATCAGTGTGTTCAGGAGATAGGAGCTGATATTGGACCACGACAGAGCTGTGCTTATGTAACATGAAACTGTATCACAAGAGGGTGTACGCAGAATTTAAGCATTAAGAACATCTTCTTATTTATTTCAGTTTCTTCTTATTTATATTCTTGTTCTTGAGGACAGAATATCTCAACCCAGTCGCTGGTAACATGCTGCCCCCTGCTGCTGTGAGTGTTTTTATTACATTTCTCAAAGGATCATCAGTAAAAAACAAAAACTTCTGAAAGGAACGATGGAATTATTGTACCATTACATCCTAGCTAGAGACCTTTTATTCCCGATGTGGTGAAGATCAGTGACAAACTAGAAAACAAAACATTAGTTAGCTTTTAAAAATAGTCGAAAACATCTCGTAGGAACAGCTAAGGTACTCCTGCATACGCACACAAACATAAACTATACACTATGTACCGCGCACACTTATCATACTGGTTCAAACTGGGACATATTCATTGTGTTTCCTTGCAGGAATTTATCAGAGGAGACCAGCGGTGAAGAACGTGAGGTCAAACTAACCATCTCACACGTGTCACACACCAGTGAAGACGAGCCTAATCCAGGACTCAGCAGTCCACAGCACATCACCAGCTGATCACAACCTTCTGAGTCAGTTTAGCCCCAAAAGAATCACCACATGACCAGAACACACCTAATGAGGTGGTGTAGTTTCTCCTCAGATATATATCAACGCTCTGCTCTGAGAGCCGGGTGACCTCTGAGGGACGACGGTGTTTATGCACTGCAGGGACACCTGAGAAAATGTCAAACTAATGAGATCTCTGTGGACAACTGACATGCCAACATATACTGTTAGTGGAGCAGGAGTGTTGTTTCAAAATAAAACCTGGACAAATGACAGCTGTAGCGACAAACTAGAAAAACGTAGAATGTGGAAAACGGAGAGCGTGAGGATGAAGAGAACAGGACACGGCTAACAAACAACCAAAGAGTTTATTAGAGCGATAGAAACCACAGAGTTCACTGAAGTCCTGTGACGAGCTGATCAAGCACTTCCAGACTGCAAACAGTCCGTTTGAAGGCCGTGTTACTCAGGTGTGTTCACCTGTAACTACAGCTACATAGGTTTGTCAATGACTTTGTACATTTTATTTTGTTATGCTCCACATTCAGCTTTTCTTCCATCCACACGGATGTTGGACTGATTTAGGACTCATGATTATTCAGTTTACCTGATTATGTGTTTTGTGTTGTAATAACTGAGAAGCCATCAATGAATAGAAAGAAGAATTTGTGTATTATTTTGTCTCGTTAAAGACGTTTGTTTCTTAGTATATAAAACAAATAACTCATTTGTTTTACTTGTGTTTATAATAACTATGTGGGATTTTTCTGCGTCAGCGGTCCTTCTGGAAACAAATGATCCAAAGTACACAGTCCGTGGTTGTCTGCTGACAGGCAGTCCGCTATCAGCTGCTGCTGTTGGTGCACCTGGTGGTTATTGTAGTCACTGTTCTAACTTTAAGGCTTTATAAACCCAAGTGGCCAAGTTACAGGTTATTGCTGTACTTTAGTCTTTTAACATGAGAGTCAATAGGGACTCAGTGAGCCTGTTTTTCAGTCACTCTCCTCTCTAAAGCAGCAGCCTTCTGTCAGGACAAGCAGGATGAGCAGTGTTCGATCATTCATTTCTCAAGTACCGTCAGTCCTTTCTTTCATTACAGCTAAAACAGCGTCTGCCAAGTTTCTCTCATGACTGTTTGCATCCATCCTGTAAATTACTGCCATCTCGTGGCTCAATAAAAAAGGCAACCCAAACATGCATTTTCACATCAAAGCTCTTGATTGACTGAATATTCTCAGTTTAAAGTCCCAATTATTCCAGCAGCAGTGGAAAATGAATGAGCTGGAGTTACTTTTCTTTTTCCTTTGATTTGTTAATTGTACAAAGAAAAACTTCTTGGCTCAAGTTAAAGTTCTCCTTTTAAGGTGACAGCATGTTATTGCTATCGTCACTGCTGGTTGTTAGTGTTAAAGTGTCTTTTATTAAGCATTCAACAAATCAGCTGTAGGGTCTGACTTGTTCTGTAAGAGGTGTGTGATTCTTCTCATTGTGCTTTAAGCACACTGTAGAATAGAGCCAGGCCGAGGCGAGCTGCAGTGTTCGGCGTCCTGCGTGCAATCTGTCGCATCTGTGTCGCGTCTTCTTGCTGGCCTCCTGTCGGCAAACAGGTAGCAGATCATGCACCACACGCTGTGCTCTGGAGAGATCTGGGCACCACTGCTGCTGCGAAAGGGTCTCAGTGCACAGGAGCCTGTCAGCAGGAAGAAGAACAGCTGGGAGCGGCGCTCACTGACACACAAGCAGAAACAAGGATTTAGAGCAGACGAGAGCCTGAGCTTTGGGCTCACAGGGATTACTTCTACATCAACTGATGCCATTACTGGAAACTTGTTTATATGAGCATCTACGTTCCCCTCTCGCCGACAGAAGATGGGAAGAAACTATAAACTTTTTTTAAACAAAACTTTGCACATTAAATGAAAATTAAATGAGCACGGCCTGATGTTTGGACTCTGTTACTTGTATACAGTCTCACTATTTGCTTTGTATCACTTTCATCTTGAACAGACTTTGTGACATCTGATCTACAATAAACATCATCACTAAACGATGTTGTTTGGAATCCAAGCAACACTTTCATGCTCCTGCTGAGGAGTGAACATGATGATAAAGTGTAACAACATTTTATAAGTTGTTAGGTTTGGATTACTTATTGGACTCAAACCATTACCAAGGAGGAAGTATGCAGCTGCACTGAAGGAGAGGATGATGAGGAAGATGGTGCCTACACCCAGGTCTCCCACGGCACAGGCATTTGGACAAGCACAGAGGCTCTCCACCCAGATCTGCAGGGGCTCCCTGCTGCTCAGGCTCTGCTCTTGGTTGACAGACATGGACTGATTTGGATTACAGTGGTAATGCACGACTGTCATTGGGAGCTTGTTGTGAGCTGAGACAGGAGAAGAAGAAGAAGAAGAAGGGGTTGGAGTATGGCAGCACAGTAACAAACGTCTGTATATGTTGGATTAGTGTGTTAGTGATGCTCACCAAAGTAGGAGACAGACAGCAGCTTTAGTGTGTCGTTGTAGTAGAACTCGTTCCCTTCATGGTTTCCATAGTTGATATACTGGCTGATGTGTCCGCCGAGCCTGTGATCCCTGTTCACAGAAGAACAGCAGAGGGATTGAGGCAACTGCCACATTTGTAAAGCAGAAGAACTTGTTTTCTTCTAGTGATAAAATAATCTCAAATTCTCTGTTTTAAAAGCATATTTAATAAAATACAAAATAAACCCTGTAGCGGTGAATGTTGTCAGGATCACAGTTTCAAATTCTAAGCATCCTCACACCTCTTTGCTGGGTTTTTTCAGTTGGAGTTTAAACGTGTCGTGTATGAATTATGATTTTAAAACTTCATTTTTTAAACATGTACTTTTCAAAGAGTTTACTACATGTCCACTCAGTTGGACAACTGATGTGTATGGAGTGACACATCAGTGTCCAATGTAGTGGTAGCGCTGCAGAGATGATATCTCTCGACTGGCCGGGAACGCCGTGGTGTTCCCCGACAAGCC